TGTTTCATAGCAAACCTGCTACAAAACAGGAGCTTTTTTGTTGAGTTCCAGGGCTAGAGAAAAAGATAACGAAAACAGAAAAATGGCCTGCCTCAAGGGAGTGTGTTTGCTCCATCAATGTTTAACATTTACACAAATGACCACTGCCAGAAGGAACAGAGAATTTTTCATCTATGCTGATGATAGTGCCATCACCACCCATACAGGGAGCTTTGAAATGGTTGAAGCTTTAGGTGCTCTTACTGCCTGTTTCAGGGAAAACCAGCTGATTCCTAATCCATCTAAAATGCAGATGTGTGCCTTTCATCTTAAGAGCAGATAAGCATCTCGAGCTCTCAGGATTACCTGGGAAGGAATCCCACTGGAGCATTGTAACACACCAAAATACCTAGGAGTCACTCTGGATCATGCTCTGACTTATAAGAAGCACTGCTTGAATATCAAGCAAAAAGTGGGTGCTAGAAATAATATCATACGAAAGCTTACTGGCACAACCTGGGGATCACAACCAGACACAGTGAAGCCATCTGCTCTTGCACTTTGCTACTCTGCTGCCTTGTGAGTACACAGAAGAGTGAATGACCTGGAAGGTGCTGAAAAGGCTGCGCTCTGGCACCACAGGATGTAGAGCTAACTTAAGAAATGAGGCCACAAAGTGGAGTCCGCAACATGCACGTGTGGAGAAGAGCAAATCACAGACCACATACTACAAGGATTGAATGAAAAGTATATTTATATTCCGGCATATAAGATGACTGGGCAAATAAGATGACACCCAACTTTTCCAGTTTAAATAGAGTTTGGGATATATTCACCATATAAGATTATCCCTCATCCAACGCACACCAAATAATATTTTTAAAGCATCAGATATGATTTCAATATGGTAATTTTCCTATTACTGTACCTCCTTCTCTGCCTCTCAGATCTCGCACATGTGCATCTGCACCGCTTTACTGCAGTCTTCAGGAGTGAGATCTGAGAGGCAGAGGAGGAGGTATGGTAATAGGATACAAGGACAGGCCCAGAGTCACTCTATCTCTTTTTTCCATACCCCGGGCACCCCGGAAGCCTACAGCTTGCAACGCCCTTCACTTACACCTTCCCGGTGAGGCGCTCCTTCACCTCAGCATCAGGACCGCATTAAGTCCATGAATCCTGATGAATGGATTTTCTTCTACCGTACTTGTACAGTGTTGCCCTTAATGCTTTCATACAGTCGCTGCATATGGCAGGGACATGGCCATTGCCATTTTTGAGCTCCCCCCACCATATGCGGCAACCACAGATTCTCCAATCCAATTGGAAGCTTCAGGACCCACTCTATAAGATTACTCCCGTGTATAAGATGACCCCTGACTTTTGAGAAGATTTTCTTGGGTTAAAAAGTAGTCGTATACACCAGACTATATGGTAATGCCCCCACCTTCTTTACTTGGATTTGTCTGGGCATATTTTAATAAATCAAATGCAGAAATAATGCTTAGAATGTGCTCTTTAACTACCACTATTTACTTTTCCACATAATCACCAGACAATTGGAAACATTTTTGTCAATGATGAACAAATTTCCTGAAGCCATCACGGAAGAAGTCAATACTCTGTTTCCACAACCAGTGTCTCACAGTTCTCTCAATGTCTTCATCAGAAGCATAATGATGTCCCCGCAGATCTTTCCTTATCGGGAACAGATGGAAGTCAGACGGTGCTAAATCTGGACTTTATGGAGGATGTCGTATGGTGGTGAGATCTAGTCTCTGAAGTTTCAAGTCTGTGCGCTTTCATTTCAGGCATCAGCATCCTGGGTACCCATTGTGCACAGATCTTCTGATAGCCAAACAAAGCAATAATGTGACCCACACGTTCTTGTGAAATGCCGATTGTGCTTGAAATTTCTCCCTGAGTGATACGACGATCATCCTGAATCAATCTGTCAACTTTTGCTTGTGAAACTCAGTGGTTGCTGTCACAGGACATCCAACTCTTTGTCATGAAAGTCAGATGTTCCCACCTCAACATCTTTAAACTTTCTTGCCCAACGACGCACAGTACTCACATCAACACAATCACCATAAAGAGCTTGCATTCTCTGATGAATCTCCTTTGGGGTGACACCTTCTGCTGTCAAGAATTCAATGACTGCACATTGCTTAAGACGCATTGACCGACCGTCTGCACAGGGTTACACACTTTGTACTTTAACAGCACAACCATTCAATGCTAAGGCTTCCTGCCAAAATGGAACTGTAGAGGAGAGTCTATTCAACAAGCCAGTACCTGCCGCATACCAGTACTGCCATCTGTTGAAGAGTTACGAAGGTGGAGGCATTACTTTTCATTCAACCCTCATACAATCCAACCTGAGCCCTGCCACATGCACAATGGAGGACCTTCTTACAGCAACACCAGAGGCACTTCCAAGTGGCCAGCTTCTGGTCAAAGGACATTTAGCACAATTCCAAGTTCCTTTTAACTTTGTGTTTTTAAACGCATTTTAACTGTACCTTCAACTTGTTTCTGACATGATAAATAAATAAATTCATAACACCTTGACCATGCCCTGATGTTGCTTAGCTACACTTGTTCCACACTGGAAAGTTCACAAATCCTGCCAAGAAAACTTAATGATAGCTTCACTTCGCTTAAGGTGGAAAACAACTTGGAGGCACGTCACAAGAATAACAAAGTCCATGGGATAGGAGAGAGGATGGACTGTGAACTGCTGGTTTCTTCTTTAAGGTGACTGTCCTGACCATCCTTTGGGACTCCAAGAAGCTCAGCCACATCCCAGTGCAGGTAAGGAATTGTGTCTTGGACATTGGAGGAGGCAAGCACCAAACCTCAGCATTTCTTTGCGCTGCAAGAAAGTGTCATCTTTGGAGCAGAGGCTGAACTTGCAGGGCTGGACTGGGTGGAGGGGAAGGCCTCTCTCTCAGTCTCTCCGCCGACCCCCCTGCAAGGGAGGGGACAAGGCGGACTAAGCTGGGCTTTGGCTTTGCTCTGGCTTTGCGTCAGAGGCTGGCTCTGCTCCACCGAGGTTTGAGCAGAGCGTTCCCACAACAAGCTCCATGGGTGTTGTGTCGGCAGGGAAGCCACTGGCAAGCTGCAGGCAAGTTTGGTCCTTGTTGTGAAGGGAAATGAAGCAAAGAGTAGGGGAAAGGGGATATGGGAACTCAGGGAGGGCATTTTCAAACATGTTTCCAGATCAAGGTTAAATTTGGGCATTTTTAAAGGGTGGAAAGGGAAGATAAACTTGGCTTAACTGGACTGGTGTGGGGGACAAGCTGGATGGGGGTAACAAGTGGGCACAGTGGCTTCTGGTGCTTTAACCTCCATTCCCAATAGTTCCCTGGGATGAGGTTGTGTTGACAGGCTTCATTTATAAGTACACTCTTTAGACATGGCTTATAGGTTTGGGGAGACATTGTGCATTGAGCATTGAGCAACATGAAAGGCAATGACAAAAAAAGAGGATGATGAGCTTCTTACTACCTCACTTTGTGTGCATGTGTTTATGTCCTTTTCTTTAATCATGTGGACCTGTGTGTATATTCTGTGTATGCTGGGTTTGTTGTTGGCAAGTTGCAGCTATCTTTCTCTATGTAAGTTCTGCCCAGGGACTTCATCACATTGAAGCTGGGAAGTGTTTGGTAGAGTAGAGCTCAGTCTGACTCAGTTTTGAAATGAAATGATTTCCCTACCTTCATCACACTGTTAAATGTATCTATGTTGCTCAGTTATACTCAGCATTCTTTCAGTAGATTTGCCATCACACTATTTCCAGAATCAGGGAAGCAGGGAGGGAGGGAGGGAGGGAGGGAAAGCGATGTACTCCCCCCCCCCTCTCTTGGATGCCCCACAGAGAAGGGTGTGGACTTTAGAAAACTATACCTCCCAGGATTGTATATTATGGAACCGAGCCCCCGGTGGCGCAGTGGGTTAAACCCCTGTGCCGGCAGGACTGAAGACTGACAGGTCGCAGGTTCGAATCCGGGGAGAGGCGGATGAGCTCCCTCTATCAGCTCCAGCTCCTCATGCAGGGACATGAGAGAAGCCTCCCACAAGGATGATAAAAACATTAAAAAATCACCCGGGCGTTCCCTGGGCAACATCCTTGCAGACGGCCAATTCTTTCACACCAGAAGCGACTTGCAGTTTCTCAGGTTGCTCCTGACATGACAAAAAATAATAATTATGGAACTATGGTAATTCAAGTAAGGTCCAGCTGCATTCATTTCACAGTGTAGGTACACCCACAGAAGGGTATGGACTTTGGGAAACTATAACTCCCAGGAGGACACCTTTGCATGGAGCCATGACATTTAAAGTGGGGTGCAAAGGCATTCAGGAAAGCAGGGAGGGAAAGCAGCGGTGCACTCTCCCTCTTTCCTCTCTCTCTCTCTCAGCCTCCCCGCAGAGAAGGGTGTGGACCTTAGAAAACTATAACTCCCAGGACTGTATAGTATGGAGCTATGGTAATTCAAGTAAGGTCCAGCTGCATTCAATTCACAGTAGATGCATCCAGGGAAGGGTATGGACCTCGGGAAACTATAACTCCCAGGAGGACACCTTCGCATGGAGGAATCTAAAGTGGGGTGCAAGGGCATTCATTTCATAGTGTAAATGCACCCACAGAAGGGTATGGACCTTGGGAAACTATAACTCCCACTTCCCCACCACCTCTTGAAACGTTAAGCAGGGGCCCCATGCTTCAAATACAAACTGTTTGAATGTATTTATAGTTGTTTTGAATGTATGCTAAGTGTATTTTATGCTTTGTTTTTATTGTTCGGCACCGAATGGTGCCTGTTGGTAGCCATCCTGAGTCCCTCTTTGGAGGTGAGAAGGACGGGATAGAAATGCTCCTAATAATAATAACAACAACAACAACAACAACAACAAAGAATGCTGTATCCTACACTTTAACCCTACCTAATGTGATGAGCACAGTGGCTTAGCACATTTTAAGCGTAACACTCAGTGGAATTTAGTAAATGTGATGAAGTGGCAGGTTTGGTACCCTTGGCGGCTCAGAGAATATGCATTGGACCCACATTTTCCTGCAGCAGGCATTTGCACCAAAGGTCTGTCCTCATTCAAAACCTGACCTTCCCCTCCAGGCCTTGACTAGGAGTTGTGTTTGTGATAGAGCCAACTTCCCATGGGAAGGATGGTAGGTAGATACAAAGGAGGAGACAGTCACAGAAGCCTGAAAGTCGAAAGAAAGTCACACCCACACACCTCTTTCTCGGCCACCTTGTCCTTCCTTGCCCTGCCAATGGGATTGTAGGAGCGTATTATGCAACGTGTCAGAATGAAGAGGGCCTCATCCAGACGACTTGAGAATTGGCAGGGAGCAGCTATTCAAGGAGCAAGAGCAGAAGAAGGGCAGAGGAAATGGGATAAGCCTCTCTTACATAAGAGGAGCCCATCCCCGGCCCAGGGCACCTGCCTCTCCTCCTCTTTCTCCAATCAGGAGGCTGCAACTTTGAGGAGGAAGGCTCTGGAACTCTACTGAAGGCTCTGGAGCCCTACTGGCAATGACTTTGGGTTGGATCCCATTTGGCGTGACCTGGTGCTCCCTGTGTGATCTCCTCCCCACTCATAGTTCTTCCGGTCAACCCATTTTGGTTATTAATACAGCAGGATAACCTGGATACTTGTGTGCCCAGGTAACTAGCAAAGGTGCCCTCCAGAGAACGGGCATTAGTTGTTGCCGGGCATGGTACACCTCACATCTCTTTGGCCAGGAAGGGTCTGCATGGGAAGGTAAGTAGAACAGAGCTTGGGTGCGTCTACCTGACTGTTGTGGTCCATTGTCATTGGCATGTGACTTTGTTTGCTTTGGTCTGCTGTGAAATTGAGTTCCTTTCTGCCCAGTATCAGTCATCTGATGGAAGTACCTGGTTTGTTTAGTGTGTGTGCAGCTGGATGGATGGACGGGCGGGCGGGCGGGCAGGCGGGCAGGCGGATGGATGGATAGATGATAGATAGATAGATAGATAGATAGATAGATAGATAGATAGATAGATAGATAGATGACAGATAGTCAATTTGGCAGTATCGTTGATTCTACCTGTGAGGATACCTATAGAGCAGGCATAGGCAAACTTTCTAACTTGGGGGCTGCATGGTAGGCCAGAGTGGGGTGGGTTGGCCAGGAGGGAGCAGGTTCTCTCCAAGTCCCCTCCCTGCCCTTTCCTCCCCTTCTTCTTCTCTTTCGGTTGGCAAAAAGTGAAGGAAAGACAGGAAACATTTGTATCCCAAAAGGGTTGGCCTTGGTCAGGATGAGATAGTGGATGGGAGAGAAAAGGTGTATCCATTAGACCCTGTATTGCCTACTCCTGATATATAATCCTAGAGCTGGAAGAGACCCCCAAGGGCCATCCAGTGCAACCCCCTGCCATGCAGGTAGGCACAACCAAAGCACTCCCGATAGACAGCCTCTGTGGGAAAGCCTCCAGAGAAGGAGACTCCACCACACTCCCAGGCAGCCTAGGCCACTCTCCAGGAAGTTCTTCCTAATCTTTTCAGTCAAATCTCTTTTTCCCTGCCATTTGAACTCATTGCTCCCTTGTGCCCTGGTCTCTAGAGAAACAGAAAGTCATTTTCCCCCTCCCTCCCTCCTCCTCCTCAATGGGACATCCTCTGAAATCTTGAAACATGGTTCTCACTCGCTACTTTCGCTTCTCCCAACTAAACATCCCCCAGGAGGAAAAGGAGGAAGGAAAAAGAGTAGAAGGGAGGGAAAAGGGAAGGAAGGAAGAGAAAGGGAAGGAAGGAGGAAGGAAGGATGGAAGGAAAGGAAGGAAGGAAGAAGGAAGGGGAAGGAAGGAAAAAGAAGAAGGGAGGAAGAAAAGGAAGGAGGGAAGAGAAGAAAGAAGGGAAAGGAAAGAGAGAGGGAAGGAGTGAGAAAGAGGGGAGGGAGGGGAAAGGAAGAGGAAGAGGAAGGGAGGAAGGAATGAAGAGAAGAATAGAAGGAAAGGAGGAAGGAAAAAGAGGAGGGAGGAAGGGAAGAAAGAGAAGGGAAGACAAAAGAGAAGTAAGGAAGGAAAGAAGGAAGAAGAGAAGGAACGAAGGAAGGCAGGAAGGGAGGGAGGAAGAGAAGGATTGAAGAAAAGGAGGAAGGAAAATGAGAAGGAAGGGAGGGAAGAAGAGAAGGATAGAAGGAAGGAAGAGGAGGAATGGAGGGGGGGGAAGGAGAGAAGGAAGGAAAAAAAAGAAAGGAAGGAAAGAAGGAAAGGAAGGGGGGAAGAGAAAAGAGAGGGGAAGGAGGGAAGAAGAAGAAAGAGAGGAAGGAAAAGAAAGAAGGAAATAGAAAGAAAGAGAAGGAAGGGAGGAAGAGAAGGATAAAAGGAAGGAAGAGGGGAGGAAAGGAGGAAGGGAGGAGAGAGAAGGAAGGAAAAGAAAAGAGAAGAAGAAGGAAGGAAGGAAGGAAAGAAGAAGGAAGGAAGAAGGAAGGAAGGAAGGAAGGAAGGAAGGAAGAAGGAAAAGAGGAAGGAAAGAGGGAGGGAAGGAAGAAAAGAAGGAAGAGGAGAAGGGAGAAGAAAGGAGAAGGAAAAGAGAGAAGGAGGGAAGGAAGGGAAGAAGAGAGAAGAAGAAGGAAGGGAGGGAAGAGGGAGGAAGAAAGAGAGAGAGAAGAAAGAAGGAAAGAAAAGGAGAGAAGAAGAAGGAAGGGGGGGTGGGAAGGAAGGAAAGGAGGGAGGGAAGGAGGAAGGGAAGAGAAGGAAGGATAGGCTGTTGAGAGAGAGGAGGGCCTGAGAAAAGAGCCCAAGGGGCCGTATCCAGCCTCCAGGCCTAGGTTTACCTGCATACCTGCTATAGAGGAAATATCATTGCATATTTCCAGGTAGATGATATTTTCTTATAACCCATCTTTATCACTTCATGTAAGAATATATGGATCTGTATACTGGATCATTTTGTCTTCTTTTGGGCCTGCCTTGCTCCGCTTTGCCTAAGCCCAGAGTGCCCCATCACCCCAAAAGTGAAAACAGAAAACCTAAACTTAAAATGCCGTGACCAAGAAGTCCAAATTACGACTTCTGGGCAGAGAATGAAATGAGAGAATGAAATGCCTGGTTGGGTAGACAGAATAGAAATCATCTTATCTGAGTAATGATCAAATTGGTTCTTTATTTACATAGAGCAGCCAATGTGACTTGAACGTCTGTGCTACGAGGCAGCCATTCAGTCTCGGGATTAATTGCAAGGTTGACAAGCTGTCACTCCGATTAAGTAATGCCAGCATGGCTTATTTCTTAAGAGACGTGTGTTCATTTCCAATTTAAAATCAAATGAATGCTAATTTATATTTCAAAATCTTGAGGTTTAATTTTTGTTTTAAGTCGTGGGAGAGTATTACAGTAGAGTCTCGCTTATCCAACCTTCGCTCATCCAACGTTCTGTATTAGCCAGCCTCCTGCCCAGATCCACAGCTGTTTCAATACATTGCGATGTTTGGGTGCTAAATACGTAAATACAGTAATTACTACATAACATTACTGTGTATTGAACTGCTTTTTCTGTCAAATTGTTCTAAAACATGATGTTTTGGTGCTTAATTTGTAAAATCATAACATAATTTGACATTTAATAGCCTTTTCCTTAATTGCTCCTTATTATCCGACATTTCCTCTTAGCCAACATTCTGCCGGCCCGTTTATGTTGGATAAGTGAGACTCTACTGTATTTATATTTATATCTATTTATATTTATATTTATATCTATTTATATTTATATATATTTATATTTATATTTATATTTATATCTATATTTACTGTCAAATCAGACAGAACAAGATCTCCTTTCTTTCACGCCTGCCATCGTTGGTGGAGTTCAGAATGCTCTTTGATTGCTGGTGAACTATAAATCCCAGCAACCACAACTCCCAAATGACAAAATCAATCCCCCCTATAACCCCACTGGTATTCATATTTTGGCATATCGGGTATTTGTGCCAAATTTTGTCCAGTGAATGAAAGTACATCCTCCGTATCAGATATTTACATTTTGATTCATAACAGCAGCAAAATTACAATTCTGACATAGCAACGAAAATAATTATATGGTTGGGGGGTCGACACAACAGGAGGAACTGTATCAAGGGGTTGTGGCATTAGGAAGGTTGAAAACCACTGTGTTAGACTCTTGGGATCAAAGACCCTTAGATCTGAAAAGGGACCATGTTCAGTAACATTCTGCCATAAAGGAATGCATAACTGATGCATTCCTGAAAGATGTCCACCCATCTTTTTAAGGTAAAGGTAAAGGTTTTCCCTTGACATTAAGACTACTCATGTTTAACTCGGGGTGGTGGTGTTCATCTCCATTTCTAAGCTGAAGAGCTGGTGTAGTCCATAGACTCCTCCAAGGTCATGTGGCTGGCATGACTGCATGGAACACTGTTACCTTCCTGCCAGAGTGGTACCTATTAATCTACTCACATTTTCATGTTTTCAAACTGCTAGGTTGGCAGAATCTGGGGCTAATATCATGAGCTCACCCCGCTCCCTGGATTTGGACATGCCGACCTTTCAGTCAGCAAGTTCAGCAGCTCAGCGGTTTAACCTGCTGTGCCACCAGGGGCTAAACATCTGTTTAAAGATGTCCAAAGATAGAATCTTCCACCTTCCAAGGCAATCAAGTCCACTGTCAAAAATGTTCTTCTAATGTTTAAGTGTACTTCTTTCTTGTAATTTGAATCCATTGGTTTGTGCTTGCTTGCTCCATCTTCTAAACTGGGTCTGGGCAAACTTCGGCCCTCCAGGAGTTTTGGTCTCCAACTCCCATAATTCCATAATTGTTGGTGTTGGAGTCGAAAACATCTAAAGGGCCAAAGCTTGCCCATGCCTATTCTAAACTATATCCCTTCAGATATTTAAAGATGCCACCAGGTTACTCCTTAGCCTTCTCTACTCCAAGCTAAATATATCCAGCTCCCTAGTTGCTCCTCATAAGATTTCTCCTGAAAGTTGGAGAGATGGGTAACCAGGGAGACTTCCTTCTGAATGATACTGTTTGAGCAATCAGCTGCCCCACAGTTGGTCCACTCGTTTCAGGGTTCAGCCTTATTTCTACCATGAGGAAGCAGCCTCGATCCTGACCCTGCTTCGGGGTCCAGCTAACAGCCCAAGGAGCACGTAGTCTTTGGGCACTTGTGGGATGAGGGAACTCCCTCTTTCCAGGCAGCTTGTTTCTTTCCAGCCTTGGCAGGAAGTGGGGTGGGGTTTGGAAGGAGCAGGATGCAGCTCGAGACCCCTGGGGAATGTCCACATACCAGAAAGAGCAGAGGAGGAGTTCACAATCTGAGAGGGCATCTCTCTCTGCAGAGGCCACGGCTAAATAGTGTTATCTCTTTTCCCAGGACAATGCAGAATGCCTCTCGACAGTGACAGCTGAGCAGGGAAGGGCAGCACTGAGCAAGCACGCTTTCTGGAGGAACCAGAAGTGAACCATCGATAACCGACATCTGTGAGAAGAGCATTTGCACGACAACCAACCGTGAGAAGAACATTTGCACATTTCTGGCCAGTTTTTGTGGGCAAAGGAGATGCCAGCCAAGACACCCATCTACCTGAAGACGTCGACCCCCAAGCGGGGCCGGAAGCTTCGCCTACGGGACGTCCTGTCGAGCGATATGATCAGCCCACCGCTGGGCGATTTCCGACACAGTGCCCACATTGGCCTGGACGGGGAGGGCGACATGTTTGGAGAGCTCTCCTTCCTGCAGGGCAAGTATGACCTCCTGCCCCGGCTGGGACGCCACAACAGTTCCTCGGGGATGGATGACCCATTTGGCCGCTGTCCTCCTGGGGCTGGTTACCGCACCCTACTCAAGAGTGCCATCTCTTTGCCTGTGTTCAATGGGGGCCAGGATCAGGCCCCACCCAAGCCACCACGTCTACATCTGGATGAGATGCCCAACGGAGGGCAACAGCGCTCTATGTCCATCAGCTGTGCCGAAGGCTGCTTTCACAGCGGGGCCCAGGGCCTCTCCTTCTCCGCCATGGCCCCTTACGACCCATTTCCTGCCTCTGTCTCTTTTTCATCCCCCTCTCCAGAGGGTTGCTTTGTGGGGGGAACCAACAGCAGTAGGAACCACCACACGGACAACCAGGAGCAGCCCTACTCCTGCGGGACGGCCCTGCCTCGCTCTGAGTCCCTGCTGCACCTTGACCTTGACCTGGGCCCTTCTATTTTGGATGACGTCCTGCGTATCATGGAGGAGTACCAACAGCCTGGCACAAAAGCTCTGTAGCTCAGCAACGCATCCTCTCTGCCAGGCTCAAGAAAGGAGGCTGATCTGGGGGCAGCCCCAAGGAAAACTGGCTCGTCTAGGTGAGGAACAATCTCCAAGCAGATCCTAGAGAGACGCGCACAGTGGGTGTCGTGCTACTCATTGCTCTGGCTCATCCTGGAGATGCCCAATGTCCCCACAGGCATTGGCTGCACAAAAGGCCACAGGTTGGAGGTCATTGACATGTCCTACGGCATGAGGAACAGGACTCTTCTGAAGCTCACTAGCAGCCAAAGCCATGCCAAACATGCTCCAGTGTTGCAGAAAGGACGAGGATCAGACTGGGGCAAAGAAGGCTATCTCCCAGAATAATGTCTCCAAGATTTAAAGCCCATAAGCAAGGCATGAGGGCTATAATAGTGCTCCGATTCTCCGTTATGAAAAACACAGCTTCTCTCTGTGCATGTTCTATCTCCAGCCATCATGGACTGTGATTACTTGCTAGTGGCATCCTCCATAGACTATTTCTAAAGGCAATTCAGTGGGGTGGTTATTATAACCACATTTTGAGGCTGTGTCGCTTTCCCTAATTATGTGAAAATTCAAGCTGTTACCTGGCTGGAATCACTCCAATTCCATTGAGTTACCCCTTCAAGTTCAAGTATTTGTGAGCGGGCAAGCAAAATTGTCTGTATTCACTCCACAGTGTGTATCATTTGATAAATTGTCTTGATTGCGCCTCCTCTTTCTCGTCTTTTTCTTATTACACAAGCCAACAAAAACAAACTTTTTGAAGTCGGCAGAAATGAGAGTAGAACAGTTTAAATCCATTTTATGCTGATCATAAATATTTATTTATTATTTATTTACTGTATTTGTATACCACCCTTCTCAGCCAATCGGCAACTCAAGGCGGTTTCCAACAAAACAGTACACATAATATCATAAAGCAAGTTAAAACATTAAAACAGTATAAAACAACAACAATAATAACAACAACATCATTAGCATCTCCCTATTATCAAGCACTGACTTTGATTTCCCCCTCTCCACATCAACTTTTAAAAATATGACGAATGGTACATTACAGAACACTATTGTAAAGTCTGCACATTTCACATCATATTAGTACAGTGTTTCTTAACCTGGAGGCTGGGATCATTTGGGGGTTGCGAGGGGGTGTCAAAAGGGTCACCAAAGATCATCAGAAAACATAGTATTTTCTGTTGGTCATGGGGGATTGGTGTGGGAGATTTGGCCTGATTCTATCATCAGTGGAGTTCAGAATGCTCTTTGGTTGTAGGTGAACTATAACTCCCAGCAAATACAACTCCCAAAAGTCAAGGTCTATTTCCCCAAACAGCACCAGTGTTCGCATTTGTGCATATGGTGTATCCGTGCCAAGTTTGGTCCAGATCCATCATTGTTTGAGTCTACATGTAGGTGAACTACAACTCCAAAACTCAAAATCAATGTCCACCAGGCCCTTCCAGTATTTTCTGTTGGTCATGGGAGTTCTGTATGTCAAATTTGTATCAATTCCATCATTAGTGGAGGTCAGAATGCTCTTTGATTGTAGGTGAACTATAAATCCCAGCAACTACAACTCCCAACTGTATTAAGGGGTCATGGCATTAGGAAGGTTGAGAACCACTGTTTTATATCATCAAGTTGCTTTCTGGACTACAGCTTTAAGTTATGCATTTGTGATGTCCGAACTGGCAGGAATTTGGAGGAAAGGGGATTTAACGAGCTTGATGACAATATTGGCCCAATGCTCAGCTGCCAGGAAAAAGTCAAGATTTCAGTTTAATGACCATTGGCAAAACAATCCTGGAGCAAACATATCCCATATTGTGCTCCCACTACGCCACTTGACTCCTGCCTGGCCACACTTGGGATACTGTAAACACTTTTTGGATAATGTGCTTCCAAAGGATATTATAGAGTTGGAAAATATGCAGGGAAGGCCAGCCAAAAGGAGCAAGGAGCCAGCCCAATTCTCCAAGAGGAAAAGTTGCGAAACGGAGAGCTTCTTAGTTGACAATAATAGCAGAAGCCAACCAGTATTTTTCATCAGATATCATTTTTATAGACCTCACAACCTCTGAGGATGCCTGCCATAGTTTTTGAAATGAGGCTAATCAAACAATTAATGCATCTATGCACTGATATCAATACAATCTAATTGATATCAGTGCAGAAATGCATTAATTATTCGATGAGCCTCATTGCAAGAAGTGCATGTGATAAAGAAAAAATAAACACAGATCTGAATTTAATGCAAAAAAAACCCCTTTATACGAATGACCTAAAATTATATCCGTCAAAGAATACTTGTTGGCTTGTGTTACACTAATACACTGGTTCTCAACCTTCCTAATGCCGCGACCCCTTAATACAGTTCCTCATGTTGTGGTGACCCCCAACCATAACGTTATTTTGTTGCCACTACATAACTGTATTTTTTGCTACTGTTATCAATCGTAACATAAATATCTGATATGTAGGATGCATTTTCATTAACTGCAGCAAATTTGGCACAAATACCCAATACACCCAAATTGGAATACTGGTGGGGTTCAGGGTGGGGGATTGATTTCATCATTTGGGAGTTGTAGTTGCTGGGATTTATAATTAACCTACAATCAAAGAGCATTCTGAACTCCACCAACAATAGAATTGAGCCACAATCAATGAGCATCCTGAACTCCACCAATGATAGAATTGAACCAAACTTGGCACACAGAACTCCCATGACCAGCAGAAAATACTGGAAAGGTTTGGTGGGCATTGACCTTGAGTTTTGGAGTTGTAGTTCAACTACATCCAGAGAGGAGTCAAACAATGAGGGATCTGGACCAAACTTGGCACGTATATTCAATATGCCCAAATGTGAACACTGGTGCAATTTGGGGAACATAGACCTTGACATTTGGGAGTTGTAGTTGCTGGGATTTATAGTTCATCTACAATCAAAGAGCATTCTGAACCCCACCAACAATGGAATTGAGCCAAACTTCCCACACAGAACCCCCATGACCAACAAAACATACTGGAGATCTTTGGAGGGACTTATAGGAGTTGTAGTTCACTTACATCCAGAGCACACTATGAACCCAAACAGTGATGGATCTGGACCAAACTTGGCATGCATACCTGATATGCCCAAATTTGAACCCCTATGACCAACAGAAAATACCGTGTTTACTGATTATCTTTGGCAACCCCTCTGATACCTCCCTCGTGACCCACTCCATGGGTCCTGACCCTCAAGTTGAGAAATGCTGCTCTAAACCAATGCGCAAGACCTTGTGCAGGAGCAAAAGGAGACAAGTGCATCGTCTCTAAAGGTGCCACAATTTGGAATTGCACCCTCATTAATGGATACATTGACACTTGGGAGCTGTCGTTGCTGGGATTTATAGTTCACCTACAATCAATGAGCATTCTGAACTCCACCAACGATGGAATTGAACCAAACTTGGCACACAGAACTCTCATGACCAACAGAAAATATTGGTTAGGTGGGCATTGACCTTGAGTTTTGGAGTTGTAGTTCAACTACATCCAGAGAGCACTGTGGACTCAAACAATGATGGATCTGGACCAAACTTGGCATGAATACTCAATATACCCAAATGTGAATACTGGTGGAGTTTGGGGGGAAATAGTCATTGACATTTGGGAGCTGTAATTGCAGGGATATATAGTTCACCTACAATCACAGAGCATTCTGACCTCCACCTGTGATAGAACTGAACCAAACTTGGCACACAGCACTCCCATGACCAACAGAAAATACTGTGTTTTCTGTTGGTCTTTGGCGACCCCCTCACAACCTCCCCAGGGTCCCCACCTCCAGGTTGAAACACTGATATAGAGCTCTTGATGAAACCTCATTAACCCTGCCCCCTATAAATGGGGTGAAGGAGAGAAGAGAGGCAAATAAATGCTTTGATGTTTGGCTATAGTGCCTATGTTGTATCTGCCTGAAGCCAGCTATATATCAGGTTGTGTCAGTGCCCCCATCAGCCACTAGGGAGCAGCATTGGATCACTATTTCAACCAAAGGCTGTAGTCTAATGGTTACCTCACTTTCTTCCTATCCTGAGTCCAGAATCTCTGGAGACCAAAGTTCAATTCCCTGCTTGGCCCTGGAAACCCACTGGGGATGACCCTGGGCACGTCACACCCTCTCAGCCTCAGAAGAAGACCAAAGCAAACCCCATCTCTGAACAAATCTTGCCCAGATAGGTTCGCCTTAGGTCAGGGAGACACACGACGACAACAACAACCAAACACCGTTACCAAGGGAATGCAAACATTGCAAATGTGAAGAGTTCCAGGTGTTCATGTTTTTTCAGCATCTCATTCTTTGCAAGGCATTTGATTTGAGAAGCAGTAATATTATTGTACTGTCGAAGGCTTTTGTGGCCGGGATCACAGGGTTGCTGTAAGTTTTTTGGGCTGTCTGGTCATGTTCCAGAAGCATTCTCTCCTGACGTTTCACCTGCAACTATGGCAGGCATCCTGAGAAGTTGTGAGGTCCTCACAGTCTGTTTACCAGCTGGGTTGCTGTAAGTTTTTCGGGGTGTTATGGCCATGTTCCAAAAGCATTTTCTCCAAACATTTCACCTGCAAGCATCTTCACAGGTTGTCATACTTGCAGACAAAACATCAGGAGAGAATGCTTCTGTAACATGGTCATACAGCCCGAAAAACTTACAGCATCCCAGTAATAATGTATTGTCGAAGGCTTTCATGACTGGAATCACTACCTCTGATGATGCTTGCCATAGATGCAGGCGAAACGTCAGGAAAAAATGCCTCTAGAACATGGCCATATAGCCCGAAAAAACCTACATACAACATTCCAGTAATATTATCTGTGGAGCGATGCCAACTATGGCAGGCATCCTGAGAAGTTGTGAGGTTGCTGTAAGTTATCCAGGCTGTTATGACCATGTTCCAAAAGAATTTTCTCCAGATGTTTCACTTGCATCTATGGCAAGCATCCTCAGAGGCTGCCATACATGCAGGCGAAACATCAGGAGAGAATGCTTCTGGAACATGGTCATACAGCCTGGAAAACTCACAGCAACTCAGTAATATTATTATCTGCGGAGCGATACCCTCTTTTTGCCCAATATCCTAGATACAGAGGCCCCTTCCACACAGCTGAATAATATCCCACATTATCCACTTTGAACTGGGATTATATAGCAGTGTGGACTCGTACTTGAGACAAAGGCGGGACCAAGAGCAGGGCCTCCCCAGATGATCTTAGAGTCCTTGATGGTTCATAAGGAGAGACACGTTCGGACAGGTAAGTTGGGCCAGAACCGTTTAGGGCTTTATAGGACAAAGCCAACACTTTGAATTGGGCCCGGTAGCAAACCGGCAGCCAGTGGAGCTGGTGCAACAAGGGGGTTGTATGCTCCCTGAGCGCCACTCCTGTTAGCAACCTGGCTGCTGTCCGTTCGACTAATTGAAGCTTCCGGACCGGCAACCCCACGTAGAGAGCGTTGCAGTAGTCTATACGGGATGTAACCAGGGCATGGATTACCGTGGCCAAATCAGACTTCCCAAGGTACGGGAAAACGGCTGATGGGGAAAAGGAAAGGGCCTGAGACTGTTAGGAAAGATGGGAGTTGAAGTCCAAAACACCTGCAGGGCCCAAGTTTGCCTGTGCCTGGACTAGAGGCAAGGTCCCCAAAGACTGAGCCTGCATCCAC